GCCCCAACCTCTTTTTTAGAAACCCAGCCCCAGCAGGAGAGGAGGATCTTTGTATGTGCCCTTTTCTCAGAGAGTCTTTTATGTATTCCTCTAAACAGCATATACTCCTCTTTTAGGAGGCATGGTTCCAAAAGGTCAGTAGAACAGTCATAAGACCAATGAGGAAAGTCATAAGACCGATGATGAAAGTCTCTGACTGTACTTTATTGAATACCTCCTTTACTTCCAGATACTGAGGTGGAATCTCTGTTGACAAGGGAGGTGCAGTAGGTACATTGATAATGTCAATATGTTGAGGCATAAGGCTCTTACAATAACCCTTGCAATCCTCTCTCCATCCCACTATCTCCCATCAATGGCTTCGACTAATATAGGTCTGTTTCTCTGCCTTAATGGCAGGTGGTGTTTAGCAGAGAACTTCCTATTAATGAAACTCTTCGCTGCCCCAGAGTCAATAATAGCCTCACATTGAAGAGTAGTGTTGTTACACCGGAGACTAAGTTTAACCAGGAAATGGTTTTTAGTTAATTTAGGGGACATATACATTACACCTAAGGTCGGTCCCCGAACTGTCCTTAGGTGCGCATGTCTTCCGGACTTACAGGGCATGAAATTCTAAGATGGACCTTTTTGCCACAATATAAACATAAACCCTTGTTTCTTCTATATTGTCTTTCTGCTTCAGTAAGTTTGGTTACCCCCTACTGCATGGGTTCAGTTTCTGAAGGTGGAACAGGAACAGATTCGACAGGATTAGAAAAATGAGGGGCTAAACACAGCCGTTTGCTTCTCTCTCTTTCTCTCAATCTGTTAGCTATGTCACTCATATAGGTAAAAAATTTGTTAAGATTGACAGGAAGGTCTCTAGCTGCGGTCTCATCGAGTACATTTTCGGATAGACCCTCTGAAAAAGCAGTAACCAGCCCGCTGTTGGTCCAGTCTACTTCAGAGGCTAAAGTTCTAAACTCGATGGCATAATCAGCCACAGAGCGATTACATTGTTTGATTCTCATCAAGGCTTTGGCTTCATTCTTTTCTATTCCCATAGGCTCAAAGGTCGCTTTGAACTCAGCTAAAAATTCATTGTAATTACAGGCGATGGAGTTGCTGCTTTCCCATAAAGGGTTGGCCCAGGTTAATGCCTTACCCGTTAGCTAGTTCATAAGGTAGCCAATCTTTGACCTATTCTTTAGGATCACCTCCAAAATGAGGTGAAGGAGAAAGGGTTATGTAGGGAGCTTTATGAACCATAGGTACCAGTAGCGGAGTAACCAGCTGTACCTGAAGTGACTTAAGATGAGCCGTTCGTTGGAGCAAGGTCTGGAATGCTTGGGCAAATTGGTCTAGCCTGTGATCCATATCCTCCACCCTACTCTCACAGGCTATCATATGCTTACATAGTTTTGCAGGATCCATGGCCCTGTCATAATGTCACGACTACTTATGTGATCCAACACGCAAAACTACGTAACATCTACATAGAATAGAAAAATAGACAGAACGTAAACCAATCC